TGCAGATGCTCCATTAATAAAGCCCAGGGTACTGTGTGCTTTATTAACTAATCTCTCCATGTGTCCTCCGATTTTCAGTGATCTATGGGCATATGTACCCAGTCCACCTGCTCCTCCACCAACTTAAATTTTGTATCTTATACTTTATATTATCTTCCCATGTTCTTCCACCAAAATACATTATCTCACACTTCATCTGCCTTCAATCTTTCCATTCCACCAAATTGTCTGTGCCTTTAGGGAGTTCTACACAGTCCTCCTCACAGCTTATGATGCTTCCGAAGTTTTACAGCATCTGTAAACTATGTGATTTCTCCTACACACCAAGACCCTACAAACCTTCTTCCCGCCCAAAAAAATCCATTAATCATTAGATGGTTTCCTTTTACTCGGATCAATTTAATATCTATGTCGCTATTGTCCCTTGTATTCCTTGAGATGTAACTTTTCTCTCAAGTCTATCCTGTGGCACTGTAGTGAAAGCCTTTTGAAAGTCCATATATACCACGTCAACAGCATCACTCTCGTTGACCCTTTGTCTTCCAGAGCAAGTAGTCCATAATGATTTCCTCTTTAGAAATCCAGGCTGGAAGTTCATCAAAAACTCACCTGTTCCCATGTGACTATTAATTCTATCCTAAACAAACACTTCCCCACCACTGAAGTTAAACTGATTGACTTCTAATGGCTGACTTATTCCTTATAAACCTTCTTGAAGGAGACCATATTGTTTGCAATTGTTTGGAGTCAATCTGGTGTGACTCCATTCCTATACTATTGAAGTCAATGCACCCCCAGTGAATTTTCTTTCTCTGGATTGCCTTTGCATTTCTCATCATAATCCTAAATCTCATGTTGTAATTACCATCATCTCTTAAATGCTTTCCTCTGACATTTGATCTACTTAGGCCAACTCATTTCCAAGACCCAAGTCCAACTTGACAAATACAGCTCTAAGAAATTCTCCTGAATGTAGTCGAGGAACTTTTGTCCCTCTCCACCCCTTAAATTATCATTGTCCCTGTTTTCCCTTCATGTGGTTAAGGTTCCCATTCTTTTAAAGTAGGCATCTCTCCAATAATTTCCATGCAGATTTGTTCTGGCATCTTTCCCACTAGTTTGCAGTCTATAGACTACACAAGGCATCCCTTTTGTTCCTTGGATCTAACCAGGTTGATTCTAATCTTAATACTGGGAGAAAGTCTTTCTTCTGCATTGAAATGCTGCCTTTAATCAATTCTGCCACCCCTCCACTTTTCAGTCACTTCCTGCCTTTTCTGAACATCTTGTACCCAGGAAACATGCAACACCCAGTTATGCTGTTCTCACCACAAAATTTTGTGAAGAAGGGTCCCGACCCAAAACATCAGCTTTCCTGCTCCTCTGACGCTACCTGGCCTGCTGTGCTCCTCCAGCTCCACATTTGCTTTGAGACAACAAGGTGCAGGGCTGGATGAACACAGCAGGCCAAGCAGCATCATAGGAGCAGAGAGGCTGACGTTTCGGGCCTAGACCCTTCATCAGAAAAGGGGGAGGGGAAGGGGGTTCTGAAATAAATAGGGAGAGAGTGGGAGGCGGATAGAAGATGGATAGAGGAGAGGATAGGTGGAGAGGAAACAAACAGGTCGAAGAGGCGGGGATGGAGCCAGTAAAGGTGAGTGTAGGTGGGGAGTTAGGAAGGGGATAGGTCAGTCCAGGGAGGACGGACAGGTCAAGGGGGCGGGATGAGGTTGGTCGGTAGGAGATGGAGGTGCGGCTTGAGGTGGGAGGAGGGGATAGGTGGGAGGAAGAACAGGTTAGGGAGGCAGGGACGAGCTGGACTGGTTTTGGGATGTGGTAGGGGGAGGGGAGATTTTGAAACTTGTGAAATCCACATTGATACCATTGGGCTGCAGGGTTCCCAAGCGGAATATGAGTTGCTGTTCCTGCAACCTTCGGGTGGCATCGTTGTGGCACTGCAGGAGGCCCAGGATGGATATGTCGTCTGAGGAATGGGAGGGGGAGTTGAAATGGTTCGCGACTGGGAGGTGCAGTTGTTTATTGCGAACCGAGCATAGGTGTTCTGAAAAGCGGTCCCTGAGCCTCGGCTTGGTTTCCCCGATGTAGAGGAAGCCACACCAGGTACAGCGGATGCAGTATACCACATTGGCAGATGTGCAGGTGAACATCTGCTTGATGTGGAAAGTCTTCTTGGGGCCTGGGATGGGGGTGAGGGAGGAGGTATGGGGGCAGGTGTAGCACTTCCTGCGGTTGCAGGGAAAAGTGCCGGGTGTGGTGGAGCTGGAGGGGAGTGTGGAGCGGACAAGGGAGTCATGGAGAGAGTTGTCCCTCCGGAAAGCAGATAAGGGTGGGGAGGGAAAGATGTCTTTGGTGGTGGGGTCGGATTGCAGATGGCGGAAGTGTCGGAGGATGATGCGTTGGATCCGGAGGTTGGTGGGGTGGTACGTGAGGACGAGGGGGATTCTTTTTTGGTTCTTATTGCATGGACAGGGTGTGAGGGATGAGGTGCGGGAGATGTGGGAGACGTGGGAGACGCGGTTGACGGCGTTCTCAACCACCGAGGAGGGGAAGTTACGGTCCTTGAAAAACGAGGACAACTGAGATGTTCAGGAGTGGAATGCCTCATCCTGGGAGCAGATGCGGCGGAGGCGAAGGAATTGGGAATAGGGGATAGCATTTTTGCAGGAAGGTGGGTGGGAGGAGGAGTATTCTAGGTAGCTGTGGGAGTCGGTGGGCTTGAAATGAATATCGGTTTCTAGGTGGTTGCCCGATATGGAGACAGAGAGGTCCAGGAAGGGGAGAGAGGTGTTAGAGATGGTCCAGGTAAACTTAAGGTTGGGGTGGAAGGTGTTAGTGAAGTGGATGAACTGTTCAAGCTCCTCGTGGGAGCACGAGGCGGCGCCGATACAGTCATCAATGTAACGGAGGAAGAGGTGGGGTTTAGGGCCGGTGTAGGTACGGAAGAGGGATTGTTCCACGTAACCTACAAAGAGGCAAGCGTAGCTTGGGCCCATGCGGGTACCCATGGCTACCCCCTTTGTCTGTAGGAAGTGGGAGGAATTGAAAGAGAAGTTGTTGAGTGTGAGGACGAGTTCGGCTAAGCGGATGATTTAACCCCACCACATTTGCTTTAGTCTTCATTCTTTTCTCCCTTATTCTAACTTTACAATTGGCTTTCTGTTCTCTATACTGGAGTTGTCTTTCCCCAAGAATTGTGTGAACCCTGGTATTCTTGTCTTTCTTACTTTTGATTTTCATACCCCTGCTGAGTTATTTTAAAGTCCTCCAAAATAGCATTAGAAAAATGCGGCACAGGATCAGTCCCAGTTCTATTCAGAAGCAACCAGTCTATCTTATACATGTGCCGATTTCCCCAGAGACAGTCCCAGTGTCCAAAGGAATTTAAAGTTCTACCCCTGCACTATCTTTGCAAACAAGCAATCGGGTGCCTTATTCTCCACTTGTTGCGCTCCTAGGCATGTACGGGAAAGCTGGATTACTACATTTGAGGGCCAGCTTGCAAATTTTCTACCTATCTCCCTAAATTCTGATTGAAGAACCATATTTTAAACTCCCTGACACTCCCACCCCTCCAACCATGGCCTTCCTAAGTTGTACCAACGTGAGACTCCAAAAGAATATCCTGCAGTTGCCCAGAGATATTTTTGATTCTAGCACCAGAGAAGCAATATGCCACCTGTAGTCATATCTATAGCCATAGAAATGCTCATCTGTTGCCCTAATTAATATATATCCTATCATTATTCTTCCTGTCTTCCTCTTCCTCTCCTATATGTCCAAACCATTCATGGTACCACAAACGTGGCTCTGGTTGCACTCCCTCTACACATGAGTGCCATCATTAGCTTCCAAAACTTTCCACCAAAGTCTTTGAGCTTCTCTTGGGGATTATTCACACTATCTAGTGAGCCATAGAGGAGAGGGAAGCCCCAGTTTTTAATCCCAATCAGTGCTGGAATAGTTGGTCTCTACTGGGTCAACTACTGGGTCAGTTTAACTATTGTGTTCCGTTGGTAGTGCATGTAAGATCAAATCAATACTCTCACTTCTGATCATCAAGCCTACTGAAATTGTGTAGAAACATGTATCTGACACTCACTTGAATATTGGGGAGTATATGAGAAATGATCACTTCATTTATATGGTGGAGAGTTTCCATTTCTGTGGGGTCTGATCCCAGTAAACTAAAGGACATTGTTGGTGGTGTGAACAAGCTGCTGATTTGCTATCAACTGATGTTATTAAGGAGAGGTGGAGAAGAGAAGAGAGATATAATATGGGATAAACATTTTTGTTCATTGGTGCTAAGGTTCAAAACAGCCATGCAGAGAAAAAGCAGCATTGTCATTCATTCTGATCACATTGTCCCTGAGATTTCTTTAAGCAAAATTTTCTTCCCTGTGGCAAATTAAAGCTCAAAGTCCTCAAACTATCATGCAATGAGCTTATGGCCTGGTCATCAGTCCTCAGGGACAAATGTTTTTCTGTTCTTCTTATCAAGGTAGTGTTTTGTACATCTTTCAAAATCTTTTTTAAAATATTTCACCTGGAGCCTTAGAAGATGACTAAAGTTTTGACAAGACTTTAAAAAAGACTTGTCTTCAATCACTGAAACAAATTGAGTGAAATATGGAAGTGTGGGGTTCTGCTTTGATTGGAAAATGACTCAAACATAAATTTTGACAGTATTCAAAATTATTCTGCCAAGAGCCAGCACAAATTTTCCTTAATATCTGTCCAGAGACTGGTTGATGCTTTGTAGATTAATAAATAAATGATGATACAAAGTGGATTGATATTAAAAATGTTCCATTGATGGAAACATTCTTGTTTTGAAACTGTAAAGGGAAATAGATATCAAAGAATTATCACTCATTATCCTGCTGAATTCAAATTAAGGTTCATTCAAAGGTTTTTTTTTAATGTTTGTCCGTACTTATTTTTCTAAGCAAACCTTTATATTCCCCCTTTGTGTTTAGATGATTCATATCCACTGAGGATTCCTCGTGCAGAAACCATCCCCAGTTACAGCTCACAGCACTGACAAATACTTCCCAAAGCTGGAACATTTTCGATGGCTCTGCTTCAGACTGTGACACTGAACTTGCTCAACGAAGCAACGAAACAAGCAAGAGGAATACTGAATGAAATGGACCAGGGTTTGAAGGATATTTACAACCTCTTTTCCTTTTACAAGTTTGCACTTCCTCTTCAAGAGTTGGAGTAACTCAAAGGGGAAGGAGAATTGAAGACAATGAATAGAAAGGGAGGTTTGCTTTTTCTAAAGATTTGAGCTTGTGTTCCAAAAAGTACAGCATCATTTCCAATCATGACAATCAAGTATTTTTGTTAAACATGAAGATTCAAGACTGCGCTGATCACAAAAATCCTTATTTTTAAATGGCAATGCATTCATCACCTGCCACTAAATCATAACACTGTACAGACATGTGGTTGGATATTTTGGTGCTGTTTACAGAGGATTACAGATACAATTGTTTCACTAACACAAGTTCATTTTCAGGCTTTAGTTAGATATAACATATAATCTTGTGCTTTTCCAGGTGTGTCTAAGGTCCGCAGACCAATCTGCATAACAATAATATTGTTTTGCCAACTGTCAGGTTTATTTTGGAACACAATTGTCAATCCAGCATTGGAAACTCACTCAGAGGAACAATTCCTGAGGTTCAAGATTTAGCAAAGTGAAATTGTACTGAGGAGTGTTTGACAGCTTTTTATGCATTAGATCATAGTCTTCAGTGGTTTGAAGAAAATTGCACTGGATTTGGACTCTGTCTACCATTTAATGTCTTTAAATTTCAGTCATTAGCTTGACGTGGGGTAGACATGACTTAGCAGACTCAATAATTCTAAGTATTAACACTAGAATTCGGGAAATGGAAATTCTCAATGTAGCAGCCAAACTGAGTGAGATTTCTGAACCATGGAAAATCACGCTATTCCTTGCTTTTAAACACACCAGTAATCACTTGTTACGTGAAAAAGTTTGTTTCATGAAGAACACAGAGGGAACAAAAGGAATGACAAATGGAATTGCATGATGCTAAAACTAAAAGAACTACAAAAATTGAAATTCTGAAAATAAAATACAAAATATTCAGATTAGTCAACATTTGAAAGATTAACTGGAGACATTGTCAGAACTGATTTGCTGCAGTGAAGCTAGCACTGTATTTCTATTAAAACATTCAGCAAGTCTTTTATAGCATCTGAAAACAATCAACCCAATTTTATTTGGATTAGCCCCATTATCGGTAGGCTAGCCCTCCGGAGTGGGGCCAATTCAGATTGGGCACCTGATTTACATTACCCAATTTTACATTCTATTGGTTCCAGCGGTGGATTAAATGCTGCAAGATCTAAATTGGGCACTGACTTCATAACATATGAAGCAATACTCACTACTCATTAAGTGGATCAAGGTAAAATCAGGGCTAATGAACATTTACAGTTTCTCAGAAGTCCCTTTGGTGTAGCTGTCTGGTACAATAAGATTCATATCATTTAAAATAAGCTGACTGATCACATTGCCCTGGTATTTTAAGAGAGGACAGCAGTCTAGAAACAGCATTTGAAGAGAGCGGTCTAAGACATTGCCTTAGAGAGTGCTATATTGATCATCTACAATGTAGAGATGTAAATAAAAGAATGTTGCAGTATTAACAATTAAAGATTCTTACTTAGTGGTAAGGAGCAAGCACCCTCAGGGACAGTGTATGACCAGATACCAACAATCCTAAGATATTGCAAACCGGTACATCAGTCCATCTATATTGACTTCAAGCACAAGATAAACATGACTCATCTTGATAGGTCACTGTGATCCAAGGTCTTTAATGGTTTCCAGTTTGCTGTCAGTATCCCTTTCAGAAATGATCATCTGTCACTAATGCTTCAAGCCTGAGAGCAATCCTGCCAAGACAAAGCTTGCAAACTGTTTTGTCCCACACGCCAGCAGAGCTCACTGATGGAGAGATGCAGGATTGAGCACACCACTATCTGCTGGCTAGATTCTGATAGTTATCACTGTCCAGCCTGTTCAGCAACAGCACTAACCACTTGAGAGTTCCAGGAGATTTATTTTAGAATATCAAGGCTCAGTATAATGATGTTCAGTATTTTCTAACCAACCTGCAGCACAGGGGACTTATTGGGGCCTCTTGGTTCAGAGGTAGAGATACTACCACTGTGCCAAAAGTGCACCTATGAAATAAATGTTAAAAATTAAATAATTTGTTTTTCTATGTTTCTAATCAACCTGTTATTGCACATCTCTGGAGCAGGTGAGACTCGAACCTGGGTCTCTTGGACCAGGGCCACAAGAGCCCATGAACTAAGTGTTTGAAGAGAGAAGAATGGGAATCACCCGGTTATGTAATTCAGTGTGAAAACCTATGAAGAAAGACCAATTCCATTTGATGAAAAGCGAAAATCTAACAATTCAGTTATACCGGGCACTGATATTTTCTTTATGATTAGTGTTTCTAGCAATGTGAGTTTAATAATTGGTTAGGTGATAATTGTTTGGTACAGCTTAGTACAATTAAACATTTACATTTCAAAAGTGTATTTGCATCTGCTCTCCTGCAAAATAGCAGCAAAAAAAAAAAAAAAAAAAATGGTGTTACGGCAATAAAGCTTTTGAAGCAACTGCTCCAGGGATGTAGTCTGACTGAAAATGTTCCACTGATGGAACAAACCCAACTTCCCTAACATGGGAAAACATCAATTTCACAAAGAAACACACTTCATATGCAAAACATACTTAAGCGATTATAGTTGACGGAATTTGTGCTGACCAAGGCTAACCTAAGTAATAGGTGTCAGTGATCTGTGATTGGTGAGATTATTACAAGTTATTTCTAGGGGCTAAATTTTTCATCAGGACTTGGAAAAACATGACTTGTGCAATTGTGCAATCATGCACACTTGACTTACGTGATTTTGAGGGATATCAGTCTTTTCACACAGGAACTGGGTTTGCAGCACAGTTTGTGAGGCATGATGGTGTTCATGAGGAGTATAGGTGCAGAGACAGGGTAGTAGTCCTCCAATACAACAACCCAGCTCCGAGCATTGCTTAAAGGCTCCCTAAATTTCATCTCTCTCACTCTCAACTATCCCCATCAAATTCCAGCCATGCACCTCACATTCCCCAATACAGTTCTATGCCTCCATATATCTATCTTCCACAGCCACTGATCCGATATAATTGTGTTTTAAAAAAAACACATTTCTTGGTAGCAGTGCAATAACAATTAAAATTTTAAAATCATTGGAATACCCTAAATTTGATGTTCAGACAATATCAAAAAACTCATGTAGGTAAAGAAAGTTATTGTCCTTTAAAGTGCCTATTAAGTTAGTAAGCCAACAAGATACCACAAAATCTTTTAGTATAGACTCATAAAAGTTTCGATTTCAAACGTTCCTGGATCAATAAAGTCAACTGCTGAACTGAAGCTCTTGAAACCCAGCCATAGTTGTAAGCTATGAATAGCATAGAATCACTTACTTCAATAAAAGCTTCCAGATACATTGACAAAACAGATTTAGATTTCCATTTGAAATCAGTTTACCTCCACATGCAGGGAATCTTTTTTTTGAAAAAGCTAGATCTGTCAGTTTAATTAATCTAGAACAAACATGACAGCACAGGACAGTCTTAAGAATGTTTTAAGACATTATAGTATTTTGAGAAATTAGGAAAATACAATAATGGACATAAACAATTATGCAACGCATAATTCCCATCAGTTCTGAGGAAGGGTCACCGGACCCGAAACGTTAACTCTGTTTTCTCCTTCACAGATGCTCCCAAACCTGCTGAGCTTTTCCAGCAATTTTGTTTTTGTTCCTGATTTACAGCATCCACAGTTCTTCTGGTTTTTATTAACAATTGTGCAATGCTGGTCGATGTCAGGGGCAACTTATCTTTCAAGAACAGATTCCTATCATTGAATGAAAAACATTGATATATAACAGTACAGAACTCAACAGTAATGATAGGTGTTACCATTCAGAATATTCTCTGCTCCTCAACAGGCCTTTTTCAGAATCTATCAAGTCTAGCATCTTTTTAATAGGATACCCGAACTCTGCATCCTCCTCTTCAGAGCAATGATTGAGTTGTTCTTGTCCTCCCCTTTTCCCCACCAGACTCCATATTCAATAGATCATACAGTGCCATTCCCAAAATGATTCCACCACCAACCATATCTCCTTCTCGTTCTCCTTTCAGCATCAAAAGAATGGTTCCATCTATAATACCCTGATCTGCTTCTCAGTCACTCCCAACATCCATGCACTCTCCAACAGAAAGTAACATTGCAAATAATGGGAGATGTTAACATCTGTTCTTTTAAATCCTCTCTTCTCATGGTCCAAAGCCCCAAACACACCTTTCAGGTAAATTTACACCTATTTGTTTCAATTTAGTACACTCTATTCACTATGAAAAATGTAGTGTCTATTACATTAAGGAGAGCAGCTATAAGCTGGATGACTGCTTTGCTGAACATCTCTGTTCTGTCTGCAAGTGTGAATCCAAGCTTCCAGTTGCTTGTCACTTTAATTCTCCACCTCGCTCCCACCTTGACAAATCTGTCCATGGCCTGTTGCAGTATTCCAGTGAAGCTCAATATATATTCAAGGAAAAGCATCTCATCTTTCACCCAGGCTCCCTACAGATTGAACTTGAGTTTGCATTCTCTGTGTCCATTTTGTTAGTCCTTGTTTTTTTTTCTGTTTTTCTTATTTCCTTGACCTTGCTTTCAAATGACAGGGCTTCTGATCCTGCCATTCACCTCACCTCTGAATATATTTGTCCGATTACCATTACCTTTTGTGAAACATTTGTCATTCAACCTATCCTGCTCTCCATTTGTTGCTGGTCACTTCTTTTCTTCCCTCCCACTCATTCAAAATCTAATGTCTTTTTAACTTTTCCCAGTTCTGAAGGTCATAGACCTCAAGTACTAATTCTGCCTTTCTCTCCCCAGATGCTGCCTGACCTTGAGT